ACCACTGTAATCCCACTGACTCAGGGGAGCGGCTCCTGCTTTGCACCCGCGTTAGCAGGGCACAGACAGCCCCAGGCTCGCTACACCAAATACAGCCACAGGGCCCGTGACTGTAGTTAGCCTCCCTCTGAATAGGTCCGTAATATTTTTGTTCAAGGTTTTTTGTTTGTTTGTTTTTTTAATAGTTCCATTGCAAGCTGTTTCATTCTCACACTCCTCTCATGTTTCACGTCAACAATCACAGCCAGCTACATACCTTTGCATCACCCCCCTATGGCCAGGTTTCATTGGCTTCTTTTCATTCTCTGTCTAAACATTAGAATTAGGGTTGCTCAAAATAACAAGGACATTTCGTGAACACTTTCTGAAATGTTTCCCATTTATTTTTAGAATTTCAAAATTCTAAACATTTTGGCCAGCTCTAGTTCCAACAGCGAGCGAGCGCTCACCAAACAGATCACTTTCAAGCTAAAGCTTTGAACAAACAGTATGTATGAAGCAAGGTGCATTTCAATAACACAGAACATTTGCTCTGCTTCTTGTCCAGTGACATTTTTGAAAGCAGATTTTCAGTGCGCTGCACACAGTGTATTTCCCCTGCCAGTTTTCTCTTCCTTTATCCCATGCTCGGAGTCGCACGTGGACCAGAGATCCCCAATGGGTGTAACTCACTGCCAGTCCAATGAAATCTTTAGAATTACACTGATTTACAGCAGCTAAGGATTTGGCCCTGTGTCCTGCCAAACACCGGGAGTAGCACTCTGCACTCCTGCCCACATCAACTGGGTGTTCCCCAACTGAACAGACCTGCCTGGCTAAATCCTTCCTACTCGGCGGGACCCCTCTGAAGAAGTGACCCTCTTGCTTAAGAATTCTATTGAGAAAAACTAACTGTTCTCAAATCCATGCTGGAGCAAGGAACGGAACTGGTTCGATCTGTTTAAATTGCAATGCATTGATCCAACATGCCATCTAGAATATCGATTGGCCAGGTACCAAATGAAGTCACGGTCCGTATCCGTCTCCTCCCCATATCTGCTTGCTAAACGATCAGCTTCCAAAGGGACGAGTGCCAGGAGAACTCCTCCTCCCAGCTAGTGGGGTGCGTGCGCTGCACAAAAGCAGCGGCAGCACGTACGTCGCTGGCAAAGGGGAGCTGGATTTCTGATCTCCCCCCAGAGAGATTTTTGGGTGGATCCTAAGAGCCACTGTGGAAGAAGAGAACGGCCCCTCCTCATCCTGTCCAGCTCTCCATCCACTTGTCCCCTCCTCTCCAGCCCTTGTTCACTATCACACTCCCCAGCCTTCTGTCAACTGGGTGGAAATTATTCTGCTTCCCAGGAGCTGCAGGCCCCGTCCTGTTATCTCAGGGGCTCTGGGCCCCACCTGCAGTTCCTTTAGTCTCACTATCTCCAGGGCTGTTCTCAGGTGGCTTATCAGTTTGTTCAATGGCGGAGGGAAGTGGGCATAATAAACGCTCTGAGCTGTTCAGTGGTCTGACTGTTTGGCCTCCCACGGGCAGTGGGCCGTGGTACCTGGGTGGCCAGGCCTAGTCAGGGGGCAGATTTCAAGCCCTGGGGGGGGAGCGGTGTTTTTCCCTGCAGCTTATCCTTTCTGGGAAGGGAGGTTGCACTCCCTTCCCAGAGCCAGGCTTTGGGCTACACAGAAGGGACGCATTCCTGCCACTCCCCCAGGCCCTACTCTAGTGAGGCCCCATCAGAAGGGCGCCCCCGCTGAGCGAGACCCAGGTGCAGAGCCTGCACACCTGACCTGGCCGATGGACGCGGTCGGACATGTCTGTCACTGGGGTGGCTCCTTGCTGTCCCGCTGCTACAGCTCCTGACTTACACCCTTCCCCCTTCGGCACTCTGCTAGTGTAACGCCAACACACCCCAGTCGTCGTCGGGCAGGATCGAACCTGGGACCGCTGGAGCTTAGTGCATGAACCTCTGCCACATGAGCTAAAAGCCAACTGGCAGTTAGCTAAGGCTGTAGCAGACTCATTTTCTCTAAGTGGTCTCGGTGCCACTAGATGGGCCAGACACCACACCCAGGAGGTGTGTGGGTTACACTCGCTCTCTTTTCCGGGTGGCTGCTGCCAAGGTGGGGGGACCCGGTTCCCACAGGACTGCGCTAGGGTCATTGCGGGAGCGAAAGGGAGTCTATTGGGTGGCCTCCGAGAGGCTGCTGCATGGGGGGGGACTGTAGAAAGGCCCCCACAAACCTGTTGTGTCCCTCTCTGGGACGGAGAGACACCATTGCTTCGGGGGGGAGGGGGGTACACAAGGCCAGTGGAGATCTCCATCTGCTGCCTCCTCACTGGGGGGGCGGGGGGGGAAGAACATCCTCCCCCCATCCGGGTACCCCTGCTTACTGACCCCATGACGGGACTGGACTCCACCATGGGGCACAGAGGCACCACCACAGGCCCACTCCTGGACCTTGGAGCTTGAGGCTGGTCAGACACCCTCCTCCTCCTCCTAGCGTGACATCCACCCAGGTGCAGGGGGGTAGCCAACGCCTTAGCACCATCTGATGGCTACAGAACCACCGAAGGCCACAGCCCCCTACAAATTCCTCTCTGCTTCTCACTGCGAGTGAGTGTCATGGTGCAGACCACCCCTAGGATGGGCCCTACAGCCAGCAAGCTGGTGAATTCGGAGTCCTTGCCCGTAGCTAGGCTTTCTTGCTAGTTACTCAGGGACGCCACGTCCTGGCTCAGAATTTGCCCCAAGGGGTCAGAGTCGCGGGATCCATGGGGATGAAGGGGCTGCATGCGAGGGGATGGTGATGTCCCAGAGACGCAGACCAGGCTCAGGGAAGTGGGTGGAAGCACAGGATGGACATGGCAGAGGGGGGGACTGGGTCAGAGCAGCATTGCTGTGAGCTCATTGTCTCCTGCTACAACTCCTGCAGGGCTGCTCAGAGCCGCAGGCGGAGATGTGGGTCTGAGTGTGAATATTCTACGGCAGTCACAGATCTCGGTGATACTAGGGCCCCGATTCTGCAGACGGCTCCAAGCTGCTTGGAGGGAGCCAGCTGCAGCATCAGTGCTTAGACATTTGTCCTGTAGAGCCAGACCTGAAAAGCACCGAGCCCTCCCACTCCTGAAGGCCTTACTGGGAGCAAAGGGTGCTGCGTAACTCACAGGGGGCTGTAAGAGCTCAAAGGTATTGAGACCCCGGATGTCCATTAATCTCAGTGGGAATTAGGAACCTAAATTGATCTGAGCCTGAGCATTGGGCAGGATCAGGCCCTATGTGACCTAACGATCCTGAGCTATCATTGTTTAGACAGCACAATGTAAATGCTAGTTTCACTTGTTCAGTTACATTTTTCAAACAAATGTGTTACCAGCAACATAACATTATCTCCTGGTTTCCTGTTGTTTTAAAACTGCACAGAGCAGGGGGCAGGGCAGGGGAGATTGGGAGAGGAAGGAGCCTCTGCCCTGGGAGACCTTGAACAAATCCCTTAAACCGTTCAGGCGATGTCTTGGACCCACTGAAGCCAATGGGACCAGCAGTCTTTCATCCTGGGAACCAGTTTGCCCACCGGTCACATCGAGAGCTGGTCAGAACTCCCCCCCCCCCTTGTGGGAAAACTTCAGCTTTTCACTGGAAAACTGAAAAGTTTTGGCCCAAAAACT